ACCGCCTCTTTTTCCTGATACCGTTTTCTGTAGTTTCAGATGTCACCATATGAAATATGATTACTGTTGGATGAAAGAAGGCACATCACACACCACAGAAGACAGCATCTCCCTTTCCGGTCTCTGGAGCTGTTACCCATCTTTTCATGAAAATGCCAACTATGCGTTGCAGTGGAGAAGCTCCATTTTCTCTCTCATCAGAATTACTTGGTATTAAGAAAATATGAGTGATGGACAAACGTGTTTTGCTGTAGAATCAACTTCAGTAGGAGAGTATAGATTTCACATCTATTTTCAGTTCATTCAGGATTTATAGTCATGTGGATGTGAGATAATCCTTGCAATAATTTCATTTTCTATCTGAGAAGAAATTTATTTTGTATTCTCCATAGGATAAGAAAGACCGTTTAAAGATAGAAACGATCCTCTGCTTTCATGAAACAAGCACAGTTTTCAGCCCGTTTAATGCTCTAGGAGACTAAGATGCTTAAAAGAGATAATTTCTGGCTGTTGAGGAAGGTGGCCGAAGGATCACGGAAGGAGAGAATTCTGCAGTACATTTTAATTTCTGCACTAAGCCAGGAAGACCTTCATAAATTCTGCAACATCTTAGTGGATAAAGAAAAAAATACAGAAAAACAGTGATTTGGCTTCAAACCAATCGTTGTTATTATTGTTTTTTAATAACTCATTAAGACACCTAATGGGTTACATACTTTTCGATAAATTGCATTTCTATCTTTTGTACTAGCTTAGGGCATTGCTATTCAGAGTCATTAGCTCCTGGAACTTTTCCTTACTTTCCATTTATTACTGCTCCTCCGAGTGTAATGGAGCTGTTTGGGCTGAGCAGGGTCCCAAACTCATTTGGTGCCAACACGTTGTTTGTGGGTACGACTTCACCATCAATTACTAGGCAGAGACAGAAATTGCAGAGTCAGGACTTCAGACTTCCTTGTGCTAAATCCAACAGGATGAACAGATTGTAAACTGCCCATTGCAAATACGATAGGCAGCAGTTTAGCATCATGTTAATACTTCATAACCTCCATCCCTTACGTTTATATAGCTTTTCCCTCCTGAAGCTTTCTGAAATTGCTTCTCCAGTCATTCTACCATACCAAGCAGTTCAGATTTAATAGTTGTGAACATTAGCTTCTGAATGATTTGAGGCCATATGGATTTTTTTATGTTTAATTGGGTAAGTCTGAAGTATTTGTTTCTATTGTTTGTTACCATCTTATAAAAAAATCAGAGAAAAATACTGACTTTCTTGATTTGGGGGCTTTTGCGGCTTTATTGCTTATCTGTGGTAATAACTTAAACCTCTTCAGAAATGGATTTTTTAATACAGTCTATAAAATAAACCTCTCAATTTGTTTCTGGTTGTTTTTGTTTCTTCTTACTATGGAACAGTAACTTACAGATGAAGAGATGTATCTATCTCAAATCACTGCAGAATTGCTAAGGCCATTTTAGTCAGTGTTTAAATGCTTCGAATGACGGCACTCTCCCTCACTCTTCCCCTTCAGTAATCCAGAGATCTTGTTGATAGGGACAGCCCTGCTCCTTGTGACCCCAATTCGACTTCCTTTCTCCTATAATTTAATTCTGTTGTTCTTGCTGCCTATAACCTCCCTCTTTTCTTTTCCTTGGATGGCTCAACTGTGACTTACTATTTTATTACCCACAGTTATCCCGCAGTTCTCCAAGTGTTTGGTTTTACTACCCTGGAAGGTTCCATCTTTCAAGTTATCTTTACAAAACACCAAGAACAAGTAAACATAAGAGGCTCTTACAAGATTTTAATCTGTGTTGAGTAGAGCTTACCTTGTCTTGCAAGTATGATCCAAACTATAGGGAACAGTGGGAGAATGGCAAGAAAAAAATGTGATCCTAAGGTAATTCAGGTTGAAGGGGATCTCAGGCAGTCTCTAGTCCAACCTCCTTACACTAGAGGAGGAAGGAGGGGGCTAAAAAGCAACAGGTTTAGTGTCTTCCCATTTTCTCCTGAGATCCTCTTGGTTTCTCTCCTCCCGTGTCCTCTTAACCCCTTGTCTTCATCTCTGGCTTTTGCAAAACTGAACATGTGAGGAGAGAAAGGATGTCCTGGTGCAGCCTCTCAAGCACAAGATGACGGGCAGGAGGGAAGAACCTCAGAAACGAGCGGGGGGAAGGAGACATGCAGGTGGAGGAGAGTGGGGTGAACAAAACTGGTGGGGAAGGCAGAGCTGATGGTGTACAGAAACGTGCAAAATGGACATGGGGCAGAACTGGTAAGGGAACCAGAGGGAAGGCACAGACCACCTTAAATATGATGTTTATCAGCATCACATAAGCTGCTGATACAGTGTCTGAGATAAGCAAGGGCAGGAGGAGTAGGACTGCATTTCTGCAAGTCTAGTAAACGGGTTGAGAGGCTTCTGAAGGTGTTTAAGAGTTGTTTGAATTACCCAGTGTTCTGGCTTTCATTTAGGTGACACTGACTGACTCCAGAACTGGCCCCCTTTGTTGGCTCCCTTTCAGCCTCAACCCTGTAGCGTGGAAGAGAAATAGCACACATTTGTTTGAGTAATGTCTTCACGCCTTCCTCTTTACAGCAGCAGCAAATTCAGTTCACTAAGAATTATGATTAGTCCTTGCTGCAGTTTTTTTAGACTCCTTTTGCACATTATTGTAGTGTTGCATAAGAAATATTCTTCCACTCCTTGGTTAAAATGTTTGAAAGGCAGAATGAAAAGGTAGTGCTCTGCTTCGAGTCCATTAGAGCACCTCCTCAAAAGGCTGTAAAGGGAAGCTGTGAAAAGAAGATCAAAGTGGGGAGACTGATAAGAAGTTCTTAGCAGATGTGTGCTCAGGGACTTCTGGGGTGCTGGCAATGAAGGGAGGACGAGCACTGCAGACCTAGAGTGATCAAGGTAGCTGTCTTCTTTCCTTTGAGCTCGTCCTCTTTGAATGTTCTTATCTTTGACAAACTTCCTTCAAGTTCATGCAGATTTTCGTTTTACCTCAGAAGTGCCGTTATTCCAGTTGTGCTGGAACTAATCAGATGTCACCTCTTGTTTATTCTGAACAATGCTGAAAAACTTTTAGAGTCTTTTCTCTAATCCAACCTTGAAAATTGTTGCGATTTCCAGACAGCACATCCTTTTTTTTTTTCCTTTGAAAATCACCTTCCCTCTTTCATCTTTTTAATGCAGCTCAATTTTTGACATTTTATTTTCAATTTTTTTAATTCTAAAGCTGCACACCATCGTCGATATTATGAACGCTGAGGTGGGAGTCAGAGCATGGAAAATGTACAGGTTGCACACCAAAAGCAGCTGGTTATGTCCCCACATTCTCTGCAAAAACGGTTGACCTGAGACAGAAAAAATGTGTTTAAAATCCAGAGGGCTTTCCAGTCAGACTGTAAGAATTTCAAAGTAGGTCAGCCTGGCTGATGGTGTCACGTTAAGCCTTGCTCCGAGATGGTTTTAAAAAGAATTCAGGAAAGTCCTTTTCCACTCTTTACATTCTTTTGAGACTAACAGAAAGGAGACAGGGCTGTCATTTGAAATAGAAGTGGAATGTCTCAAAGATAATCCCATGAGCCGGGTGACTGCTTGTATGATAAAAACCACGTTTGTGAATCTGAAAAAAGGTGAAAATCTGTATTTGTCACTCAAAATACTGTGGCGTTTCAGACTCATTAAAGTTGTTATGAATCCTGACTGGTGAGTGACACTGGAAACATCATTAAAAAGCATCTCAAATTGTAATGATTGTGATTTTGTATTATATGATTGAGGCACATTTTAGAGAAAGATATTAACAGCCTCAGTGGATGATCTAAGCAGCATGAAAAAAGTGGAAAAGACAGTTCTGTTTAGCTGTCTCAAGCAATGGATGCTGGAGCGTAGGAGCAAATCATGGGGAAGAGATGTTTACACATGAATAGACTATACCCTAAAAAGCAGCAAACAACTTACAGCCTGCTTTGTTTTGTTTGCCCTAAAAAAACCCAAACCAAATGCCTTTAACATACAAATACAGCAAATGACTTGGCTAATCCTTTACTTCTAGCTCATGCTTCAGTGATGACCTGTAATACTGGATCATCTGCGAGGTTGTAGGTATGCAGACATTGCTCTAAGTTTCATCTTGCTAAATTTCTCAACTTAGTGAGTGCAAAAGCCTGCCTCCTTTGTCTCTGCATGACAAGGTGTGCTCAAAAGTGAATGGAATGCCACGAAAAACAGATCTGCTCAAAAGAACAGGTAATTTTCACAATCTAGGTTACTTTTTAAATAAGTACTTAAAAGCCAGTAGTTCGACAAGTGCCAAGGCACGCTCAGTGTACTGACCTGGAAAAAGGTGGTGATGAAAGAAAGAACAGTCTCCCTTAAAAGTTTAAGGCAGCACCTGTTTTTGTCAGACTCTCAGTAAAATCACACTCACCGTCCCAAAGGTAAATCACAAAATCAGAAAGACTTCACTGAGTACATCCTCCCATCACATTATTCTTCAAAACATTCTTTTTTAGTATAGCGTCTCAGTTCAGTATCTCAAATGATTTATTTGACTGATGGAAAAATGCAAACCCGTGTAAACAAAATACTCTGGTTACATCCACATAGTACTTTTCTCCTGAAATATTGTTTACCTAAAATTGATTTAAAGATATAACATTCAGTATTCCTAGGACAAGGTGATTGTATCTGAGATCAGGTGGGGCACCCCTATGCTCATATTCCGCCCTATTTCCCTTCCTACGTTGTATGGATGTAAATAAGTCCACACGTTATTTTTTATAGCTTCTTTCACTTTAGGGTATGGTACTTTATTCAATACATACATAATTTAAGCAAGACAGTGAAACCTCTAGTAAGGAATATCTCAGACAAGCAATCTTTGTCTTAAGAATGCCCCTCAACAATTTCAAACATTATCCCCTGAGGCTTCTAATACTATATTGTTCAGCCTCCGCTAAAAGGCACCACTGTTAGTCAACACATTTTTCTGACAGGTTTAACACTACATGTTCTGCACTGCATTTCAGAGAAAAAAAAAGATCCATATGAAAAAGTAACTAAAATCATTTATGTCTGAAAACAAGTCGGCATAGGAACAATATGAAACAGCTATTGCTCTGTTCTATGACTCATTTGGCAGTAACACCACGTTTACAGATACCTGATGCGGAGCTCTACTCCAACGTGGACAGAAAGGGTTCTTGATGAAAAATAATGATGAAATTAAAGTAAAAATAAATCCAGGCTGTAATGATTGACAGGTGAAAACACGAGACTTCTCTTGACAGTCTTAGTTTGAAAAATAAACAAGCTTTTAACCAGGTATTATATTCTGCTTGCCAGCACAGAACAACAGAAAAAACCGCTTTAAACAAACAGGCCTTTTCACAAGCTACCGAATGTTTTCACTGATGTCCAGATCTTTAAAACTGAAAGCCGCTCACGGTGAAGTGTATGGGGCAAGTACATGGTCCTCAGTAATGTGCGCTGAGGAGTTGTTCTTCCGGGTTAAAGTGTGTATACAAGAATGACCCCGGGTCACGTAAGTGCAAGTGTGTGTCTCTTCCAGCAGCCAGAGAAGACTACTGGAGAAGAGTACGTTTATTCCCCCCAAAGTGCAGAAGCCAGATGGCACGGGGGGGTATGATGCAGCGTTTTGCATCAACTGAACATTATCTTGTAACGCACTTTCGAAAAGATGCTTTCAGAAATAAAGCAATGCCAGATGGAAGTGTCGTTGGTGGGAGCTGTATCCTACCTTTGGGCTAGTGAGTCTGCTTACCAGTCGCATTTTTCTGTGTCCCTCTTTTTCCCATGTTGTAGTAAGGTTAGCTGTTCAACATGGCATAAATACCAATGGATGTCAAGCTTTGTTTGCCTTTTCAGCTGCCAAAGGGCTTTCTTATTTTTCTTCACATTGCTGTAAGTTTTTTTTTTACCTTCTGTGCAAGTGGATTTGAAGACTGTACCCCTTCTACCTACCCAGAAAGATATCTCACATCTGTTAAATTACAGGGTGGCAGAAAATAGATTTTGTGTAATAAACCTTACTTCAGGGATAGTGAAAATTTCATCCCTAAATAACAAATGATGGAAAAGTCACAATGTGTGTGACAGCAGAACAGGGACCACAATAGTGCAGGACACAAACAGACCTTTCTGTCCTCTCTTATTTGGACTCACAGAAGTTACCATGTGCAAAGCAGATACATGGTTTCTCATCTCTGACAAATAGGACAGTATTTCCTCATGCTCTATTTCATTAATTTTATGATGTATGAACTATGCTTCTATGATTAAACATATTCAGATGTTAACTACAATTGAAAAGCATTTAAATACAACTCACGAGTGTGTCAAGAGGAAAAATATACAAAATAGCTGAAAGAAACGTAATAAACAATGAAAATCCAGGAGAACAGGCTACATAAAATATTGGAAGGTTCTTCCTGTCTACGAGGTAAACTAGCCTAAACAAATTCTGAGCTTCACAGCTCAGATTTTAAGCTAAGGATATGGTCAAATTATCACGCTGGCTAGTGTGATAAGTCCTGCTGCTCAGTTATGCTCTGTCTAGCTACTGCCTCAGAGAAAAGGTGATTGCTCTGACATACGACCTCCCCACCCAAAGCAGCTCCCTCATAACTTCTTTGCACAACTTCCTTCCTATGCCCAAAAACCGCGTTTCTGAATTGTCAGCATCAGTAACTCCATTTGATAAAAAGGTTCATAATGTTTAAAGCCCAAATTAAACCCCAAAGTGCTAACCTGGTAACACATCTGAGAGGAGATTATTTTGGGGGTGTTCCAATTACCAAAGAAAAGGGAAATTTTCTATTCCTTGCGTATTAAAAAGATTACTTTGGCCTGCAATGTTGTTCAGCCGTTGGAATTAAGAAATAGACATAACTGAATATAAAATTACGGGTCAGTAAATACAGAGCTTTACTCATACTCTTAACCAGCTCAGAAAATTTCTTTTCAGTATAATTCTGTATGCATATCCTCTATAATTTTATTTTAGTAAAGTTAATGCCTATTACTGTACAACTCTTTCAACACAAAGTGTTATGTAAGTGGTACAGATTATGATGATGTTGTTATTTGCTACTGTGAAAAATATTTAACAAGCAGAACACTGCGATAATTTGTTTGTGTTTGCTAAAATTAAATACTGAAACCAACTTTTGAAATACACATTTTTAACTAACAGGATGCAAACAACGGAAATGGTCATTTGGGCTGAAATGTTTTAAAAACCATGACATTCTAAATTTGCTTCATACATCATCTACAACTGAAAGGGTCAACATTTAGAATCTGTATTTAAGTCAATGCCAATATCAATAAACTTCAGTTTAAATTAATGCAAAGGATATACTCTAATGGAAAAGAAATGACTCACTTTACTAACTACTTCTGAAAGAGTTTCAAAATGTTGTTCAATATTGTATGTGCAAAACTGCGTGTAGTGTCTTCAAATGACTCTAAGTGGCCAGACATCTCTCATACCATTTCTTCTATCTGCATACATTAAAGACATTAGGTCTGTGGTTTCTGTTAAGCCCCGTGGTGACAACTGCTGGGAAACTGTCACTCTTGTGCTTTCAAACAACTGGTCTGGATATGTGAAATTTGCAGAACTGGAAGCAATAGCTGGAAGGCGTCCTGAATGTAAGTAGTACTGTTGCAACCCTAATGGGGAGAGAAAACATGTGCTTCATCAGTATAGCTGTCACGTATTTCAGGAATTACACTGCACTTTTTAAATAAATTTTTTTTTGTTTTTAACATCTGCATCACGCTATATTAGCATATGTATTCACACAAGACTTTAGAATCTGCAGATAACAAAAATGATAAATTACAACAGTTTACAGCTAACAAGAATAGCCTGAATCACTATATAAAAATCTGATTTCCCCTCAGTTTGAACTCTTGGACCGTTTTGTTTGTAATGTGAGCAGAATAAAATGCCACAGTGTTCAGAAGTAGATTTGACTTTTTAAATACAAACCAGCTAGTCTTTCCATCAACAGAACTAATTTTGAATTTGCTGTAGGTGGAAGAAGTGTCACTGAAATTAACAGTTTGAATTATTATAATGGTTTTAACACATAGCACTATTTTTGGAATTTCTAATACTGAACGCTACAGCAACTTGCAATTCTCCATGAACCCAGGCTGTAATAATACGTATTTGTATACAAATATGGTATTTAAGAAGTACAAAACATTGTATTCCACAGTTCTGGACATTCCCAGATTTCGCAATTCCTGGAGCACAGAAAGATACGTCAGAACCCCAAATTTACCCTATAACAAAAGGAACAGTATAGTAATCTTTACTACAGCTCTATTCAACTTTCCATGATTTTCCTTAAAGGTATTGCTAATTCAGTGCGAAATTACTTATTGTAAAATAATCTTTTCCTCATTTTTAAGGGAATGCAACTATTAGATACAGAATGACAATTTGTAGTCACTACTATATGTTTATTTATACTTAAAGAGAAGTGTGATCTAATTAGCAGAGTTAAAAGAACTCGTGCTGCAGATAGTACACATTTTAGTAGTTTATGAGCCTATTACTCCCTCTTGACCTCTTCTCAGCAAAACTGAGGCGTATTTTACTCACTGTGCTTTTCTGACGAAAAATAGCTCATGGTGTCTAATAGAACAGGTCACTCATAGATCATGGTGTCTAACAAAAGAAATCACTCATGAACATTTTGGTGATGTCTGACACATGGTTATCCATGTGCTGACCAAGCCTGGAGATTGAGATTCAGACTGTGAATCTTTGTAGAAATCTAAATGCCTGTGGATGGGAAGCACCGTAGCATACCTGCAACTCAAATTTTAAAGAAAAGAGTAGTCTGAAACTATCTGTGAATCAGAAATACTTTGCAATATTTGAAGTAGGTACCAGAACAGTAAGAATAGGCTTATCCCAGGCAACTTGTGAATAGGTTAGAAAAGGGTTAAACAGCACATTGCAAATTGTCTCCTGTGCTCTGACCAATACAGCGGCAGAATTTCAGAGCTGGCCGGTCTCACTTCAGTCACACAGTTGTTAAGAATCCTCAGTGAATGCAATATTACTACTTGAGTATTTATGGGAGAGGCTGAACACAAAAACGAGAGGTTTATGAGCTGGCACTGAACAGCCAGAATTATATTGTCATTACTTTTTGTATAGTTCTTTCTTCAGACATAAATGCCACTGTTTCATTTCAAAATCATTTTACTAGAACACTTCTTAATGTGAAAAAAGTGAAGGCTTACCTCTGATAGCACACTGTTGATGATGGGGTTAAGAACCTCTGCCTTCATACTGCTCTGTAAACCGGAAAACAGAATGAAATGCCAGGACAAGAAATACATTTAACAGAAATATATTGATATCCGAGAAGTGGTTTTATGAATTCTGTAAAGGTCTTGCTTCACCTTCTTATTCAGACTGTTTATCACAGTATTCCTGATAACTATGTCTACGTTTCATACACACTTCAGTAGACCCTACGGATTTCTATCATTGAGTACAATGAACTAAGACGGGCTCAGGGTTTTACTTTTTCATTAATTCATGTACCACAGAGTTTCAAATTGCCTGGTTTCCTATGGATGTGAGATTTATGTGATGACATTGTCTGTCCATCTGTCTGTCAGTGCCCTTCTCATCTCCCCCCAAATTTTTTAACCCCTTGCTCATTTTCAAGGAAACAAGAAGGAAAAATACAGGTCAGAAGGAAAATGAAGTTCTTAGAAGTTTCACAAATATCTGTGGTTAGGAGGAAATGAAAGGCCCAGATTAGCTCCCCTACAGAAGGAAAAACAGGTGAAACTCAGATTCCCAAACTGGAGGCAGTATATGTTGAGCTGGACAATGCAGGCTGGCCAGTAAATACTGCTCAGCATGCATAGCATTTTTCTCAACCACCAGACAGGCATAAAGATGGGTGCAATGAGTAGTGACACTACTAGAGGCTAGAAAACCAAGATTCGCCAGCTCTTCGGCTTTTTAAAATGGCAAAAGTTCTTTCCTCTTTTTATTCTCACTGTTTTTTGCATTGTGTTTTTTTAGGATGACAGTGAGCTCCAGCAAGAGTTGCTTTCTTTCAATACTGAACGGTGGACTTCATTAGAACAAAGAAAACACAATACTGATTAACTTAACTGAAGGATTTCCACTTACAACCTTGTAGCTTTCATATTACAGATTTAAAGAAACATGAAACACCTTAATTTTAGTTTGGAGAAAGATGGCAGAACAAAGGGAAGATGGTTAGAGAAAAGAAGAGCAATTTTACTGTTAGTTACTAGAAAATCCATTATGAAGTGCACTGTTTAGTTGATTGTCAATAAACTGAAACAGATAGAGAGCAGTATCAATTAAATACTATTGATTGTACGAATCAATAAGTTAAAGTTTGAAAGAAAACTTGCGTAGCAAGCAAAGCTGTTATTTCTTACTTCTGCATTACTGCTCACTCAGAAACATCGCCAACATTATAGACTATGTGTACAGCCGGCACTACAGCTAATGTCTGAATTATCCCAATATAACTATAGGGATGGCATTATGTTTGAAAAAAACCCAGTATTTTCTGTTCTAAGCCATTTCTCAGTTTCCCATGAGTTAATGCACTTTGCAGGATACTGGAATGTGTTTGTGAACCCAGCTGCTGTTGGCAGGTTAAGGAGGAAGTTGAACCACGGGGACATGCAGGAAGATGTAGATTTTCTACAGTCCTGTGTGACAGGTGCTCCTTACCTTCCTACTGATCATGGTAAGCAAAAGGCCCAGATCTTCCTCCAAAAGCTTACAGGGATGGGACAGCCCATAAAGATCATCAGACTGCCCTACTAAAACTCTTCTAGAGAGTATTTTGGCAGTGGGAAGTGTCTTTGTGCTCAATTTCTTATGTGTCCACACAAAGTCCACAAAAGCAATCTGGTCCTAAAAACTGAGTACCGAGCTGATAAGAACAAAACCTAGTGCAATGCTTATGAAAGCTTTAGTTTCCAATTTTCTGAGTTGGGCCAGCTTAATATTTCATGTGCAATTTATTTTTGTATGTCTGTGCATGTACTTACTGCAAGTGTCACACAAAGATATGCTCAAATACAATCCCAAAATGCAAAATAAGCAGTTTCTCCCAGAGTAATGGGAAGGAATGTAAATTATTCAGAATAAAAGCAACCCAATAAATCATGTTCTCTACAAATAACTCTGAAAAAACTTGCTCAGAGATGGCTGGAAGAGCTCATGGGAGAACTGGAAATGTTTCCTTTGATGTACATTCATGCTTTCATGGAGTAATCAGGGGAGCTAGAGTTTGTTCTCTGACATTCACAGAACAATTTCAGCAACAGTACAATTTTTGCCTCTGGATCCTGCTAGAATACTCAGGTGTCAGTCATCTTTGAAACATCTTGAAAGGCAGGATACTATTTCTAGCAAAGATGTTCACAGTTAAATGGATGTTCCTAAATGGAATATCTTGAGATATAAGACAGAGTGATTTTTTTTAAGATGGACGACCAAACAGATTTTCTAATCTCTTAAACCTTTTGAAAACACAGTGGCTCTAGGCCAAGGGATTTAGTAAAGGCTAAGAAGACAGCTTGTGAAACCATCTTAAGGTACTGGAAGTGTTATCTGTTAATGACTTTTACACAAATGCATTCAAAAGTAGGAGAAGAAAATATCATCAAGTTGTGGGCCTTCAAATGTGGGGCCCTTTCAGTACAAGAAGATAAGAAGTGATGGTGGTGATCAGGAAAAATGGGAAATGGTGTCTAGAAAGAGAGATTTTAGAAGGCAGGGGACACACTGCAGTCTATCAAGGCTTATAAACTTTCTCTGCAACAGGAAACCTGCTGTAAAAATGCTCTGTGTCCTTGATCGGAGGAAAGAAGTGCCCTCTTTGCTAGTACCTCATGTAAAGCCACTGGACTCGGGTAATAATTTCTGTTTTAAGAAGTGAACTATATCAAAAAAAGCCAAAAACTACAGAAGATGCTGTTATCTTACCCCAGCTGCTGTTAAAGAATCGGAAAACTTCTTTGATAAACATGAAACTTCATTGCACATGGCACTTGTTAAACTGTTTTAAAAAAAAGAGAGACAAATATAAAAATACATTTTTGTCCTGTAAACAGATAAAAACCCTATGACTGTCCCAGGCACAAACTTCATCTTAGAAGCCAGGAATGTTCTTAAGGCAATTTTGCTTCTAGCAATTTTTTCAATATTTTGGGGTAGACTTTGTTCATGATACAGTTTTCATATTCCTCCACTGAAAAATCCATTGCTGACTACAGCAGCAAATTGATGTCATGTTGGCTCAAACACTGGTCTTTTTTGATAGTGCAATGTTTCAATTTTTAAAATTCTAAACTTCTAGTTTAACTATCGTTTTTCTGATGATTGCAGCAACACAACTCCTAGAAATACTGTTGGAAATAAATCAAACTTTAATGAGAATAGTGAGAAGTTTCCTATCTAAGCAATAAAACATCTACTCTACTAAAAGAGGAAGTACCCTTGTGGATAAAATATGAGAACAAGGAGATCTGGTTCTATTCCTAGATCTTTCACTGTTTTGCTAAACTTTCACAAGTGCATCACGTAGAACCTCATCCTGCAAGGTGCACCATACCTTAGCTCCAATTCTGAAAAATACTTGTTCAAGTACTTTGTTTTAGACTGAAGTGTTCCTATGGACTTTGCTATTGTTACTAGCACTCTTAAAGATAAACACTTGCTTAAATACTTTACTTACTTAGGACTCAAGTGCTTACAACATCTTAACGTCAAAGCCCACTGAAATCAGTAGAATGGATTACTACAGAGAGCCTGAGATCTGAATTTTGAATTCCACTAGGTAAACTGGCTTCTTGAATTTATGTACATTTTTTCGTGGTTTACTACTAAGTTGCTGACAAATGTGGTCTTATTGTTTAGAACTACAGATTGATTTTTTTGTATTTTTGGCAGATAAACACTAGATAATGAAACTCTATTGGCAGATAATAAGACTGCATTATGCACTCTAAAATCAAATTCTGTCTATGCTAGCATGGTATATCTTTTGCAGAGGGAACAGGAAATGCAACCCAAAATTAGCATGTACATTCACTTGCTGGACAGAAACAACTTTCAGCCTGTGAATAGGTCATGTTTTTGTAAACACACATATGTTAGCCATGACAAAAAAATGACAGGTAGCCTATGTAACTTGATTACATGAGAAAATATAGCACCAGGACCCCTAAAGCCAATGCTGTTTGTTGATCCATGAACTTACTGTGTCTTCAAATGCCAAAAGCTGAACAGAACTTCATGACTTCTAAGCAAGTGTCAAATGTTCATATATGAAATATGTAATACTCACTTCGTCAGTACTTTTGCTTGATCTTGAGCTGTTTTTTCTACTTCCTGCCCATGCAGAATTAATTCTGCTACTTTATGAAGCTGTTCAATACAACGAGCAGTTACCTCAGCCAGACTTTCAATGGACAGCATGTAGATTTCCTGAAATTAAAATCAGGGAATAATATCATCAGTAATAACAACACTGATAAATATACGTATAGATATATACATATAAAAGAATTTGAAACATAAGAGCCCTCCCCACCCCAACTGGAAATAGCACCATATACATAGTGAAGTAATATTAGCCATAATGTCATCCTCACAAAAAATACTGGAAAATGAAATATCCACAGATTATAAAATACAGACCTTATACTCACCCTGAAAAATTAGTAAGAACAAGTCTACCATTTATTTGGATGGGAACTAGGTCAGCCTCTCGGATTTTCTAACATAGCACTTTTAAACCTAGTCCTAACAAATACAAAGATCCCTTAACTCTGGAATAAGTCATAATTACTTTCATATGGAGCCAAAAGTATTGATTCATCCCTCAGATGAATCTCCAGAGTAGAAATGGATAATACTCCTGATAAAAAAATGGCTTTTATCAGCAATGATAAAAAAATCTACCTAGCACTACGGCATTACAGCTTTCACAAGCTGATGCCAGCTGGAAATCTGCAATCGCATAAAAATCTGTAACACATACAGTGTAACTCTGTTTCCTTCTTTGGACCTTTTTTGTAAGGAAACGTGACAGATGATTTCTTTATTAGAATTCACTCAACAACATTTCATATTGCTATAACTTGGCATAAAATATTCAATCACAATTAACCTTATCAACAAGAGGGGTTGTCTAAATGGATACGATACTTTTAGCCTTAGGTGCTATCTTTCATAAAGAGAATGAACACTTGTGAGCTGCCTAAATAATATTTCTGTTTTGTCTGTTTGTGATTTAAACTGTTTAAGAGTTTAAATAAAGTTTGAGAATTTTTTCCATATATTGTCACTAGGAAAAAGAGATGCCAAGGAATGCTGAGATACGACTTTCAATGTGCTATCGACATTACACCACAGAATCCCTCAGTTCACTGTATGGTGTATATACACATGCATACACACAAAAACATAGATATAAAAAAATAAAAACAATGCGATGGGCAGAGGACCTGCTACTTTGATATTTATTTATGGGAACAGACTAACAATAAAAATATTTATGTAAGTTAGTTTCCTATTGGGTCTACAGTGAATAGTTACATATTAATATTTCTTAATATTTCCATGAGTTTAAAAAGTAAGGACAACATATAAAACCAACACACAAAGATAAAGAAGTAATCTTATCAAACTATGACAATTTGCTTAATGAAACTTATCCTCCAAAAGCTATTTTACCTCCACAGTTTTGTTTTTATCTGCTTCTGTTTTATCACTGTCAATTTTATCTTCTTTTTCAGTCTTTTCTTCACCAGGTTCGCCAGGTTTTTCTTTTAGCTTCTCTTCTATGTCTACTGGGGTGGAAAAACTGGCTTCTTCCAGCCATTCATGAGCTTTTTTCCTAGCCTGCCAAACAAGGAACCCAACCCCAAAGTTCAGTTCAAATAGGGAATATCAAATGATGTTCCTGAATATTAATTAACAATACATTAATTACTTCCTTTTTACATTCCAAAGTTTAAACATATCAAGCCTGTGTAGTATTTAGTTAAGTATATTTAAGAAACTGTACGGAGAAGCGTTTCTGATTGCATAAAGATGGATCAGCCATGGATAATTCCTGTACAGGTATGATATTCCTAACCAACACATAAGAGTTGGTGTTAATGCCAAAGTTACTAATATTTCAGCTTTATGAGGTATCTTTCAAAGGAATTTACATGGAAATAATTTTCCCAAATAAAAAAATATGAAGGTGGTATAAAAAAAGAAAAAAATTGGAGAGGTAAGAGAGATGTCCTAAATTCTTAAAGGAAAAATAAATAGAAAATCACTGTATCTTCAGTTGCCTTCCCAGGCACGAAAGTAGATCAAAGTGGAAAAGCCTTGAAGTTTTATACAACTTCAGACTACTGTTATGTTTAGTAGGAAATTTATGATTTCTCTTTTTTAACATGTCAAAATATGTTAAGACCTAAGCCTAAGCTAGTCTATCTATGTATCGAGAGATAAACATTCATCTGAGCCTAAGATCAGCAGGTGAATCACCTTTAAAGGGGCCTGATAGTAAAAATGTGACCAGCGATGTGACTAGCTTCTAGCCATCTAACTTTTAGATCACTGAAGCTAGATGAGATAAATTCAAGACTTTGCTTCTAGCTGAGAAGGTCTGGAGAAGTCCCTCAGAAGAATAAACACGACGAGCAAGAAATATAATTCTGAACCTGAACTTTGTTCCCAGTATGAAGACCAAATCTGCTGTGTTCATGAACTCTGTTCTGCTGAGACATCCCTGGTTCAAGGCTTTCTAACATGGCCCATTGTGCTAGCTAGTCATTGCAACTGTATTGCCTTACTAATCTCACTTCTTCTATGAAAGCTCTTCTATAGTGATCATTCTGGTCCCACCCTCCTATACTTTGCTTTCTGAACTGTCTGAACAGAGATAGGTACTGCTCTGTGTCAGATTTCAGAACAAAGCCCTTCCTCGTTGTCTTTGTCCAAGAAACGGAGGGCATCTCGCTAACAGGTGCTAACCTTATTAAGTTTGTCAGGAGTAGCAGCAACGTGCAATTCAAATAGCAGTTCAGTGAGCATGCTGACAAACTCTTCTCCCATATCTGCTGCAAGAAAAAACAAGACAATTTTTGTTAGGGTGTTATCACTATAATATTTTTACGTGATCAAATACATCCAGTCAAATAGTTTCCTCAAGCACTCTAGCACTTGAAAACCAGTGACAGGGATACAAGGAAGGGGTGTGTGGGTGTGGGTGTGGGGGTGTATATGCTCAAAGAAAGAAGAGAAAAAGCAAGAGATACCAGATATGCTAGCTTGACACTTCGACAACTCTTTCCAGCCCATTCTAAATTCCACTAAGTTTCACAAAAACAAGTAAGAGAAGAAGCTGCATGATCCCTAGTTATCTGACAAAAATACATAGACTCATAGAATAATTTAGGTTGGAAAAGACCTTTAAGATCATCAGTTGGACTCGATCTTAGAGGTCTTTTCCAACCTTAATGATTCTATGATCGAGTCCAACCGTTAACCTAACACTGCCAAGTCCACCACTAAACCATGTCCCTAAGCGCCACGTCTACACGTCTTTTAAATACCTCCAGGGATGGTGACTCAACCACTTCCCTGAGCAGCCTGTTCCATCGCTTGACAACCCTTTCAGTGAAGAAATTTTTCCTTACATCCAATCTAAACCTCCCCTGGTGCAACCTGAGGCCATTTCCTCTCGTCCTATCACTTGTTACTTGGGAAAAGAGACTGACACCCACCTCATGACCCACAAAATAACCAAAGAATAAGAGATACTAACCTCTTCTTTCAAGCCAAGGAATAAAAACCGCAGCAGGTTTTACTTACTTTACTTTACTTACTTATACAAGTAAGTTTCAGAGGAAGCATACTGAAGAACATGTCCTTTATTGCTCTGTCTGCAAACCACAGCTAAGAGGTGTGTTTTCTTTCTATTTTAAGATTGAGCTTTGCTTAAATGGAGAATGTTTTCTTTTCTGCATTGGAGTAATGAGCCTTAAAGAATCTGCACTTCATATTCAAAAGATTTATGAGCAAAGATAAATATCACTAGTATTCAGACTTCACCTTTATTATATATATTCCTTTGACTACTTGCAATTGCCATATTCTAACATGCTCTAAGCTCCTAACAGTTGGTATTTTGGTTAGTTCTGTTCATCTGCACTTACTGAGTTTGGAGTCTTCATTAACATTTCCTGAGGGAATATACCAAATCCATTTATTTAGCCTGATGACGCTAAAAGGTTAAAGTCCCCATACCGAGCCTGATGAAAGTCCAGCTACTTCAAAAATGAATTTAATGTCTTGCTGTATTCCCACTTTTTTGTTCATTTATTAGGTAGGGCCAGTTTTTCTATTTTTATGCAAATCTTCAGTACTGGACTTAAAAGCAGAGGCCATTACTCTCCAAAGAGTTTGGGGATTTTGGTAGAACTGTTTATAGTCCACAGTACCTTGCAACATGTGGAAACGTGGTGGAATCTGACACTCAGATTATAATCTAGAGCAAAGGACTTCTCACCCTTGCTTGTAAAGAGAGTGCCCATCTTTGGTGCTATAAAATAAATTTGTATTTAGCACAAAGAACTCTTCACCTGCAATGACCAAGAGACTGAGCTTTCCTCTTAACAGCTGGGCAATAGGTCAAGAAGATTGTATTCTGGCAGGCCAAAAAGATGCAGAGAGTTCATTTCATTGCTGCCCTTATCAGTAAATTTTGGCAATAGGATTTTCAGGTTTTGCAGTACAGCACCTCTTGGATACACTGAATTCACTTGTTCTTAAAACAATGCCAAACTGTTTTATAAACTGCAGCATGCTGAAACTGATAAGCAGTTCACTGGATCAATGCAATTACCAAAATTGTTGATAACTGGCATATTCAATTCAATATTCACTTTGGTTACCGTCTCCCTTAACCTCACATATGAAATTTCTGGTGTTAATGGCTTTTAAAATGTAGGTAAAGCTACTTTTTCAGATATTCTCCTCTCATTATTTCATAAACAACTGAAAGGAAAAGAAGCTGCAGTGAAAAATACATGAAAGGGTTGCATAATCAAAGTGAGAGGAAACACTAGAGAGAAGGGTATGCATTTGGCTTTCTCCTACCTGTGTCAGAAAATATCTTTTCCCTTTCTTTCTTTTCATACTGATTTTGCACCTACCTGACTCTTAAGCAAAGACACAAAAACCCTACAATTCCAGTTTCAAAGTTGCCAAGAACAAAGCCTAACCCCAATCCTTTCCCAAAACAGTCCTCCAAAGATCACTGTGGTAATTTCTCCTTCTGTAGGACTGAAAGTGTTTACGGTAGAAACTAAAAGCAGCACTAACATCTCTGACTGAGCTGCTCTTGAGAGTCTAGGATAAGAAGGGATCCTGAGAATTTACATAAAACAAACGGCCACCCTTTTCAAACACTTGAATGCAAAGTACTGGCTTTTCTCCCAGCTAGTCTTTTTTTTTCTGAATATATATAGCACTGACAAATGACACCATATAAATAACATGAATTTGATGACGAAAGTAGTAACAAATTAGCCATAAGTGGTAATTAACTTGTTTTCAAATATTGCTCAGTGGCTAGATAAGATTTAACATTTTCAACCACCGTTAGTTAATCTCTGTCTTTTGTAGGGGGGTGGCTTCCTTACTATCATGGTTTAACCCCAGTCGGCAACTAAGCACCACACAGCTGCTCGCTCACCCTCCACCCCCTCCCCGGTGGGACAGGGGAGAGAATCGGAAAAGTGAGAAAACTTGTGGGTTGAGATAAGAACAGTTTAATACTTGAAATAATAAACTAATAA